GGGCGTGAGAACGGCGAGGGTGTGATTTACATGGGCTGCTTATGGGCTCTTGGCGGGCGTGAGGGAAGTAGGCCAAGGGTCGTAACTTTAAAGAACTGGGGGAAGGAGGGAGAGGGGGAGGGAGGGAGAGGGGGGAGAGAAAAAAGGGAGAGGGAGAGGGGGGAGGGGGAGGGGGAGTGGGAGTGGGAGTGGGAGTGGGAGTGGGAGTGGGAGTGGGAGGGAGAGGGGAGGGAGGGGAGAGGGGGAGGGGGAGGGGGAGGGGGAGAGGGAGAGGGAGAGGAGAGGGAGAGGGAGAGGGAGAGGGAGAGGGAGAGAGAGAGAGAGAGAGAGAAGAGAGAAGGAGAGAGAGAGAGAGAGAGAGAGAGAGACGGGAAAAAGGGAAGGAGAGGGAGAAGGAGAAGGATAGAGAGGGGGGAGGAAAGAGGAAGAGGAAGAGGAAGAGAAAAAAAAGAAAGTGGGAAAGAGAGAAAGAAAAAAGCAGAGAGAGAGAGAGAGAGAGAGAGAGAGTTATGAGCGATGAGAGACGAGAGACGAGAGAGAGAAGAGAGAGAGAGAGAGAGACGAGTCAGAGAGACGATGAGAGAGAGAGAAGAGAGAAAGACGAGAGCGATGAGAGAGATGGAGAAAGAGCGAAGAGAGAGAGAGAGAGAGAGAAAGAGAGAGAGAGTGTAAGAGTGAGAGCGAGATCGAGTGAGTAAGTGCGTGAGTAAGTGAGTGATTAAGTCCGGGAGTGAGTGAGTAAGTGAGTAGGTGAGTGCGTGTGTTCATGCGTAAGAGTGGGTGTTAGTGTATATAGAGTCAGAATTGAATTAATTTGCATCATAATAGTTTCGAAAGCTACACAGAAAATTGTATCATGAATAAACATGAATATTAGACAGAGCGAGCAGGGAAGAAAGTCGACACACAGCCGTCGGCAACCCCAATTTATTGTAGCTCTGTGACAGTAGTTAGACACTTGGGAAACAACACACACAAACAAAGACTCACACACCACACACACTCACACACACACACACACCACACACACACACACACACACACCACACAACAAACACCCACACCACACACACACACACATCTATTATATATCATTTATACACATATATATATACGCACTTATATGTATGTTTGTATGTATGTGTGTGGGTTGTATTATGCATATTGCATATATGTATATACATGATACACACACACACACACACACACAACACACACACATCAACACACACACACACACCACACACACATATTTATATATATATATATATATATTTATATATATATATTTTTTTTTTTTGTTTTTTTTTTTTTTTTTTTTTTTTTTTTTTTTTTCCTTTGTGTCTGTGTTGTGTGTGTGTTGCGGCGCGCGCGTGTATGCGTGTATGTGTGTGTGGGTGCATGCGTGCACGGCGTGGTGTGCGTTTTCATAGTTTACAGTTTGCGTACGTAGATAGTATATGAATAGTCATATGTCATATGGTCATTATTTTTTATGCTGCTTGCATTTTTGTTCCATAAGGGAAAAACATATTTCGAACGCCATTTTGAGCTGCAGTCTGCGTAAAAACTTCATTCACGAGAGAGTGATGAGAGAGAGAGAGAGAGATGCAGAGAGGGGGAAGAGAGTCGAGGGACCAGGAAAATTATTTTTGAGGAGAGTGGGGCGGAGGAGGAGGGGATGGGGAGGGTGAGGGAGAGGGAAGAGGGGGAGGAGAAGGAGGCGGTAGGGGGGGAGGAAGAGAGGGATGGAGAGGGGGTGGGGGAGAGGATAGGAGGTGGAGGAGGAAGGGTGGGGAGAAGAGGTGGGAGGGAGAGGAAGGAGGAAGAAGGGAAAGGGGAGGAGGAGGGAGGGAAAGGGGGAAGGGGGTTGAGACGAGAGAGTGAAGTGATGATCGTGACGTGAGTTAGTGAGAGAGCGACTGAGAGCGAGAGAGCGATGAGAAGCGTGAGTGATTATGTAGTATTGTGCATGGTGATCAGTTTCAGAGGGCGTGTCCACCTCCATATTGTTCTGGGTTCAAAGGGAGTATTAAATCGTTCATGATGTGTGTGTGTGTGTTGCAGTTTGTGTGTGTGTGTGTGTGTCATGTGTGTGTGTGTGTGTGTGTGTGTGTGTGTGTGTGTGTGTGTGTGTGTGTGTGTGTGTGTGTGTGTGTGTGTGTGTGTGTGTTATTCGTACCCCCGCCACGCGCGCCATTCACAAGTTCGTTCCACCGCCGCCGTTCCTTTTTCTGTCACTAGATGTCAGTGCGGTCGAAGGTTTTTACGTGTCTAGTTTAAATGTTTTCGCTTTTTTTCTCCATAATGATAGTGATGCTAGAGGATATTGACATAAGGCGCTAAATGCATATGATTAGGAATGGAAAAGTATATATTATCTGATCCTATAATTTGAGTCTTGAGCAAACAGGAGAATCGGAAG